AGAGCAATAGAACCAAAAAATCTGGGCACAGGGTTTTTTTCTGAGACTGATACTCCAACCAAGGACCATGCATGGAGATAACCTAGAACCCCTGCACAGATGTAGCCCATGGCAGTTCAGTGTCCAAGTGGGTACCCTAGTAAGGGGAACAGGGGCTCTGACATGAACTCAGTGGCTAGCTCTTTGATCACCTCCCCCTAAGGGGGAGGAACAGTCTTGCCAGGCCACAGAGGAAGACAATGAAGCCAGTCCTGATGAGACCTGATAAGCAAGGGTCAGATGGAAGGGGAGGAGGACCTCCCCATCAGTGGACTTGGGGAGGGGCACGGGAGAGGAGGGATGGAGGGTGGGGTTGGGAGGAAATGAGGGAGGGGGCTACAGCTGGGATACAAAGTGAATAAACTGTAATTAATATAAAAAACAAAACAAAAAACAGGAGAAAAAAACAGGAGAAGTATACCTGGAAGGTTAAGGTTCTGTTTTCAGGTCAGTTGAGAAGATTTGTCCTGTGTCAAGTCCTGTGCAAATTAAGGACTGTTTCTGTTTGTAATTAAGAAAAATTCTTGATTCTTAGATTTGAGGTAAACTGCTTTCGATCCCATTCACAGGATGACTTAAATCCTTCCCCTTGCTCCTTTCCTTTCATTGTATCTTTCTAATGATGTGTTAGACACCCCTGCCCCCGTGAACACCTTCCCTCTCCTATAAAAAGGAGCTCAAGAGGCCAGCAGGGCTTCTCGCTCCAATCCCGACTAAGGGTGAGACAGCCGGCTGGCCAGTGCCGGGTGCACCCCAAAATGCAGCTGGCTTTAACTGGACAAGCATGTCTTTGGTCTTTTCTACTCGAGATTTTCAAGTTTAACGTGGCCAGGAACCCTTCTTTCTGGCTCCCAAATTAGCTGCATGAACTTGTCGATTCCCAGGTTGGAAATGACTTTAGTTTGTCACCAGGACCTTTTGAGGAGGGAGTAGAAGCTGTTTTTTTATTCCCAGGGAGCACACTCTCATCTTTTGACAGGGTTCCAGGGTTCCACGGTAGATAATGGGCAGAACTGCTTGTGTTTTCACCAAGCAGGTTTATTCAAATCTGGAGTTGACGGAAACAGGTGAGACATCCCAACCCCTCTCCCCCGCCCCATTTTTGAAGAAGGAAAGTCTTAGGGGTTCTATGACCGTGCCTGCAACAATTTGTCCCCAGCCTCGTTCGAGTCCTTGCTTTGACAGTTTATTCTGTGAAGGCCGCCAGGCTCTTCCTCTGAAGACCAGGTGCCAGTGTGACCCCCATGTCCTGTGACCCCATGGTACTGGGGTGTTTGCTAAATGAACTAATTTTGCCAGGAAAGTGGTGCTGGGGTCTCATGGGACAGGCTTCACCATTGTCTTTCTTTCCAGTACAAGTCAAAAGGGTTGATTGTTGTAGATCACAGGACAGAAGGCAGGGTTGGTGCTAGGTTTGTGTTTACACTGAATATCAAAGCCTGGCAGGGGAAGGCCAGCCGTTTGCTTCCAGGCAAAGCATTCTTCGGCTGGCTCGTCTATATGGCCTCTGTGTTTCAGGGAAACGCTGTAAGCTCCTGTGCCAGCCTTCCATGGTGTGGTGTCATTGTGCATGGACCCTGTGTATGGGAGTCACTTTGCCTCTGACGAGAGTCTGGGGCTCACGGCTCTCCTGGGCACAGAACTGCTGGATTCTGCAGGAGGTTGTGGGGTTCATTTCTGCAGCCTTCCCTCCCACCAAGCTCCCTGAGGCTTCTGATGGGCGTCACTACTCTCACAAGACCGCCGGTCTCCTTTAGGGCTCGTATTCCCTTTCTCTCTGCTGCGACAAGATAAATGAGAGAAGCAATGTAAGGAAGGCAGGGTCCATGTTTGCCGGTGCTTTGAGAGCACGGTCCAGGTGGAGGGGGGCTTGGTGGCAGGTGCACACCTACAGCTGTGACGTCGGGAGCATGAGCCAGCTGACACGCGTGAAGGAAGGTTCCTGAGAAGGATGGCAACTTGCGCTGAACGCTCTGCAAAGCTGCTTCGCCGAGTAGCACAGCGGTGATGTGAAAGGCTGGGTGACTCAGGTTGACGCATCGTCCTGCACTGATGTAACCTCTCCGTGGCCATTAGGAAATTCCTGGGAAGCAAGGAGCAGTCTCCCATTTCCAGCCAACCAAAGGGCTTTGAAATGCTGCTCCATAGCACCAAAGGCCTCTGGCGGTCTCCTTGCTTCACGGGGAAGCGCCTACTCATGCTCCCAACAGCGTCTTTGGAAAGTGCCTTGATTTATGACTATCTTCGTTCTGTTGCTACAAACACTTCTTCATATTGTTACCATGTTGAAACATGGACTTGGCCTGAACCTGTGTTGCTGGACCATGGTCGCTCATGTTTCCCTCCAGAATAACCCTTCTCTTACCTCCTTTGAGGCAGAGCTGGGTTTTTATGCTGGGACTCAGCTTTCTTTCTCCCTTTCCCATTTCTGTTCAGTCCCAGACCCCAGCTCGTTGAGATGGCAGGCTTTCCTCCTCAGTTAAACCTCTCAGGAAGCCTCCACACAAAAATGTCCAGGGGTGTGGCCTAGGTGACCCCAAACCAGGTGAGCGGAGCCACGCTGCAAGGCTCCATGCAGCACAGCTCTGCTTCCTTTAGCTTGTTCTGATCTCCAGAAGAACTTATGGCTAACAAATATAAATTATAGTTTTTGATTGGTCACTATTAATTCACACCTAATTGTATCAGTAATTAAAACTTTGTGTGTGTGATGAGGTATGGGCAACCTTAATTTTTGGTCCTCACCATCAACTATTTTTGAGGAAAGGGGAGTCTCTTCTTTTGTTTGCTTATTTCATTTTTATGTGTGTAAGTGTCTCACCTGCATGCATGTCTGTGTACTGTAGTGAGGGAAGAACTTTGGTGTCTTTAAAATCACAGCGAGGTTACATGACTGGTTTGCTTTTAATCCCAGGTGTGGGAGGGCTATGGGCTGCTTCAGACTGTCCGCAGCAGCTGACTGTGGTTGTGAAAGACTCTGGCTAGAGCCTCTCTAGACGGGGAGACCCCACTTCCCAAGAATCAGCGAGACCAGCCTTCGGATGCAAGCCGCAAGAGGTTTATTTCGATACACGGGTACCCGGGGCGACAAAGCCTTTCGGAAGACCTGCGCGCCCCTCGGTTGGGGTAACGGGTTTTTATAGGGCTTGGGAGCAAGAAGCACATTTACAGAAGCGAGAAGCGTAGTTACGGGGATCTGATTGGGGGATTTGAACAAAGCCATAGTTAGGTTACGTATTTGGAGCAGGGAAGGCGGGAAAGCAGATGTGGGCTAAGTCACGTAGCCGGTTTAGAGAAGGCGGGAAAGACTCCCGGCTCTTATCTTAGGTGTCCCGATTGTTTCAGGCGCCCAACCGCAGATACCTTGTGGTTGGACACCTGTCCTGCCCTGCCTCTGACCCTGTATTGCTTGTAAAATAGTGTTGCCAGCATTATGCTAGGGCTTTTTATTTTTCCAGTTGGACTCGTGGTCTGGCAGGGGTATGGTTTTGTCAGTTGAAGAGAGTTCTGAGGGCTCTTCAGAGGGTGTATAAATGCCGGAGACACAAGAGAGGTGCTGCTGTTTGCTACTAATGCAAGTTGCTGTTGGCTACAATTTGTTGTCTTTTGCAGTGGTGAGCAAAGAGAGAAGTAGAAGAAATCAGATATCCTGTCTGTGAAGATCAGATTTGCCCTAAGGGACTCAATACCCCTAACCAGCAGGAAGTAGTGTAACAATATCAGCGCCCCCTTCTCCTTCCACCTAGTGTGTGTGTGTGTGTGGGGGTGTGAAAAAAAACCCCAATAAAGTAGCCAAAGGTCTGCTACAGTGTACCACGTTCCTGGGGCCTGAGGGTGACTGTGAGCTGCCTATGGATGCTGGACTCCAGGCTGGGTTCCGTGCCACAGCAACGACTGCCCTTAACCGTTTGGCCATCTCTCCAGGCTCTAAGTCGCTCTCTTTTTGCAAAGTAGGTGGCCACTCTTCGGCCTGTAACTCACTCTGTGAACCAGGCCGGCCTCAGACGCATAGAGGGGCACCTGCTGTGCCCAGGAGTGAGCCTCCACACCGCCTCCACACCGGGCTCTTTGGTTACTGTCTGTCCCCCAGGCTGGCTGCTCCAGCAGCTCCTGGGTTGTTCTGCTTTACCTCACCCAGGAGCCCCGGGCTACAGATGCTCGCTGCTGCGAGTGGCTTTGTGTAGGTTCTCAGGATTTGCATGCACACCCTGACGCTTGCCCAGCAAACGCTGTCAACTCACTGAAGCGACTTCACGTGGCTCCTGGAGAGACACGAAGTACACGTGAGGAGTAAAGGTGGCTACAGCACACGGTGCTCACTAGTAACGGAGCTGCAGTGCATTAGCCTCCAGGGTCAAAGGCCAGCGAGGTTTTTAAATCCAAGAATGAACCCACAGAAAGTGTGTGACTACAGACTGAAAGGTAAACTTGTTTTCTGCAAGATTTCACGCTGGGAAGTGCCAGGCGCTGCGCTGCTCCACTGAAAGCCATGTAGTGAGCAATTGCAGATGACTTTGTGAAGTCTCTTTATAGATCTTGTGAGTGGTGTGTGTGTGTGTGTGTGTGTGTGTGTGTGTGTGTGTTCGCGTGCACGCATGCTAGCTGGTGTGGGATCCCGGGGTGGCCACCGTGGGGCACTGGTACCTGCTCGTCCTCATGCTCACACTGCCTGAGCTCGTCCTCAGTGCCCTGACCTACATCCGTCCTCGCCACAGCAGTGTTGGGTTTGGTACCGACACCTAGTCATGGAGGCTGACTTGGTAGCCTGCAGTTCAACTCTATTTTCTTCCCAAAGATTTTGTGTCAAGGTTTAAGGACCCCCTGTGGAGGGCAAGCCTGGTAACCATGGCAACGCCACTGCCATCGCAAAGTAGCTCCCAGAACTCCAGGCTCTGGGTGGGGGGGGTTAATTCTCACAACAAAGGCTTCTCTGTTCTCCTGGGCACAGGAACACCGCTGGATAGTGGCTGGGACAGGCCCCCAAGGCTGATGACTCTGGAGGAAGCTGTAGGCCAGCTCCCCACCCTAGCTGTCTTCTGGACAGGTAAGGGCATGTTCTGAGGGCCCAAAACCCTGAGCAGACTTGCTCCTGAGCAGGTGTTGGTGGCGATCTCAGTCGGAACAGCAATACTGCCTCCTGTTAGCATTTCTCAAGCTGGGTGTAGCTCACCCTGTACCCCAGCTCTGGAGTGTCTCAAAGGGTCACAGAGCCAGTCTCTCCTCAGAGCCCGCTGCACAGTCGCCCGATGACCAGGTCAGCTGCTTCCCATAGGTGTGAACGGAGTAGAAGTGGTTTCTGAGCTTGTGCTGGGCGGCTGCGTCATTATCGAGTTAACTGCTCCCTTGTCAGCCACCTGCGTCCTCCAGGCTGTGAGCCGCCCCTCACGTGGGGCTCCAGCTGACAGGTAGGGTTTTCTCAGAAAAAGAGGGCAGGGTGACTTAAAACTTTAGTGCCGTGAAAATGTGTCTGAATTCTGGTTCGTTTTGTTCTACGAGAGTAGCCGCGATGGAGGGTACAGCCCTGAGAGCAGAGGTTTTGTAGTTAGAGCAGGACTTTTTATCCTCCCTGGTCCGTCTGTCTGTCTGTCTGTCTGTCTGTCTATCTATCTATCTATTTATCTATCTATCTCTATCTATCTATCTATCTATCTATCTATCTATCTATCTATCTATGTCTGTCTATCTATCTATCTATCTATCTATCTATCTATCTATCTATCTATCTATCATTTTATTTATTTTTACCTAGTGTTCATTTTTTGGCTTGCTCATTTTCTGCCTTATTCAACCATGTTTTGTAGGAAGGAGTTTGCTGTGTATTTGTAAAATGGAGATGACAATGATCTTGAGATGTGAGAATCGGAGCATGCACAGAGATGTGACAGAGCTTGCTTATGGATGCATGATTGTCCCTGCTGGGCAGTGGCGGGGAGCTGGGCTGGATGCTTTCAGGGATGGTTCAAGATAGCAGAGCAGCAGGATCAAAGGGACGGGACAGGGCAGGGGGAGCTGTGCTTGGTGATTGTCGAGTGGGCTTTCTTTAACGGGCTTTAGAGAAGGAGTTTCTTTGCCAAGGTCACATACAGGTGGTTCTGTATTGACTGACAGGCTTGGATTATTTAAGTCTTCGCTCCCTTCCCACGAAACCTCTGATTTTACTCTTGCGAGTGTCCACTTTTGCATTGGCCTAAGACCCTAAGTAGGGGACTCCCATAACAGTTACTCAGAGGCAGACACCCCAACCCAGCCTGTGACACACTGGTCCATTTTCTGCAGTTCCGGCAGGAGGGAGGTAGGCATACATTTCAGGGTGTGTTTGAACAGGAAGAAGCAGGCACACACAGCTGCACGCAGACGGAGGCTGTAGGCGGCTCACAGGTGGCTGGCAGCACTATCTGAGCAGGACTGTGTGTGGTACGTGGAGTTAAGAGTCCCAGGCTGCCAGGCACGTTATTAGAAGAGGGGCATAGACGCTCCCTGAAGGGCAGACATTTAGCCGGACTTTTCTCTGGAGGTTTTCTGGCCCCAGAGACATCCTGTGGCCACTAACATTCTAACTGGTGAAACAAAAATGGACCTAGAGCAGCAAATGAGCAGACTGACTTGCAGGTGAATGACGAAGTGTGTGTGTGTGTGTGTGTGTGTGTGTGTGTGTGTGTGTGTATGGGTGTGTGTGTGTGTATGTGTGTGGGTGCGTGTGTGTGTGTGTGTGTGGGTGGGTGGATGTGTGGGTGTGGGTATGTGTGGGTATGGGTGTGTGTGGGTGTGTGTGTGTGTGGGGGGTGTATGTGTGTGTGGGTATGTGAGTATGTATGTGTGTGTGGTTGTGTGTATGTATGTGTGTGTGTGTGTGTGTGTGTGTGTGTAGAGTCCTTCCTACCTTAGCAGCTAAGGAAAGCTCATCTTTAGAAACACTATTTTCTCTATAATTCTGAGCCTGCTATAAACTCCCTATATACCTAGCCTGACCTTGCACTTCTGATATTTGTTGCTTTGTTTTGTTTTTTGAGACTGGGTTTCTCTGTGTAGCCTTGTCTGTCCTGGAACTCATTATTTAAACCAGGCTGGCCTTGAACTCACAGAGCTCTGCCTGCCTCTGCCTCCAGCGTGCTGGGATTAAAGGTGTGTGCCATCACCACCAGGGTTGATTTTTTATTTTATTTTATTTTATTTTTCTTAAAAAGGTCACAAACTGCTTACGATTAATTTCTTTCTATGTGTATGGGTGTTTCTGCCTGAACACGTGTTTTTTTTTCCTTTTTTTTCTTTATTAATTATACTTTATTCACTTTGTATCCCCCCTATGGTTCCCTCCCTCCTCCCGTCCCAATTCGTCCCTTCCTCCACCCTCTGCACGTATGCCCCTCCCCACGTCCACTGATAGGAGAGGACTTCTTTTCCTTCCTTCTGATCCTAGTCAATTAGGTCTCATCAGGAGTGGCTGCATTGTCTTCTTCTGTGGCCTGGTAATGCTGCTTCCCCCTCAGGGGGAGGTAATTAAAGAGCAGGCCAATCAGTTCATGTCAGAGACAGTCCCTGTTCCTATTACAATGGAACCCACTTGGATACTGAACTGCCATGGGCTACATCTGTGCAGGGGTCTTAGGTTATCTCCATGCATAGTCCTTGGTTGGAATAGCAGTCTCAGGAAAGACCCCTGTGCTCAGATTTTTTGGTTCTGTTGCTCTCCTTATGGAGTTCCTGTCCTCTCCAGAGCTTACTGTTTCCCACTTCTTTCCTAAGATTCCCTGCACTCTGCCCAAAGGTTGCCCATAAGTCTCGGCATCTACATTGATAGTCTGCAGGGCAGAGCTTTTCAGAGACCCTCTGTGTCAGGCTCCTGACTTGTTCCCTCTTTTCTCCTTCTTCTGATGTCTAGCCTCTTTGCCTTTCTGGATAAGAATTGAGCATTTTAGCAAGAGTCCTCCCTCTTGATTAGTTTCTTTAGGTGTACAGATTTTAGTAGGTTTATCCTGTATTATATGTCTATATGAGTGAGTATATACCGTGTGCATCTTTCTGCTTCTGGGATAGCTCACTCAGGATGATCCTTTCCAGATCCCACCATTTACCTGCAAATGTCATGATTTCCTTGTTTTTTATTGCTGAGTAATATTCCATTGTGTAAATATACCATAATTTGTGCATCCATTCCTCTACTGAGGGGCATCTGGGCTGTTTGCAGCTTCTGGCTATTACAAATAAGGCTGCTACAAACATGGTTGAGCAAATGTCCTTATTGTGTACTTGAGAATCTTTTGGATATATGCCTAGGAGTGGTATAGCTGGATCTTGAGGAAGCGCTATTCCTAGTTGTCTGAGAAAGCGCCAGATTGCTTTCCAGAGTGTTTGTACAGTTTACATTCCCACCAGCAGTGGAGAAGGGTTCCCTTTTCTCCACATCCTCTCCAGCATGTGTTGTCTCTTGAGTTTTTGATCTTAGCCATTCTGATGGGTGTAAGGTGAAATCTCAGGGTAATTTTGATTTGCATTTCCCTGATGGCTAATGAGGTTGATCATTTCTTTATGTGTTTCTCTGCCATTCGATATTCCTCTATTGAGAATTCTCTGTTTAGCTCTGTTCCCCATTTTTTAATTGGATCACTAGACACACTAAACCACTTAGAAAAAGAGTGGGGAATTACCCTTGAACTCATTGGCACAGGAGACAACTTCCTGAACAGAATACTAACAGCATAGGCTCTAAGAGCAACAATCAATAAATGGAACCTCATGAAACTGAAAAGCTTCTGTAAAGCAAAGGACACTGTCATCAGAACAAAACGACAGCCTACAGATTGGGAAAGGATCTTCACCAACCCTTTATCTGACAGAGGACTAATAACCAGTATATATAAAGAACTGAACACATGTTTATACCACATATGTACCTGGAACTCATGGATGCCAGAAGAGAGGCTTAATGAGTCCCTGGTGAGACTGGTGCGAGTCATGATGTGGTGCTGGGAATCGAACCTGCCTCTTCTGGAGCGGCTTCTGAGTGCCCTTCACTGCTGAGCCGTTTCTATGGCTGATCCTTTTGTCTTTTCTTTCCCAGTTCTGGGATTGCAGGGCTGTAGGGACACCTGATTCTCCATCCACCATGCTCTGTCTGTCTGTACACGGGCTCGATAGGAGAGGGCACCAGCTCCCACTATGGATAGTTGTGGGCCACCACATGCTTTCTGGGAATTGAACTCAGGAGCTCTGAACCTCTGAGCCATCTCTCCAGCCCCACCAGGTACACTCTTACACAAGGTTTCAAGAGTTTAAACAGTGTCAATCTGTTCATTTTATGTGTGTGTAAACAAATCTCCCCCAGATACGGTCCTTGAACCACAGGCGGCAACGGGCAGGGGCCCGATTCTCTACTGGTACTTGACATTTTCAACATTGGAAATAACTATTATTTAAAAATGCACCTTAGTGTCTTTACTTATGAGTCAGTTTGGAAGTGTATGTTTAGCTGTTAAGCTGTCCCTTTTTGGTGTTGGAGGCATGTATGTGCCATGTATGTTTGCATGCCCCTGCCTGTAGGCGTGCTCACCAGTGTGGGTATGTATGTGTGCAAAGGCCAGAAGCTGTTGGCAGAAGTCTTCCTCTTTTTGAGACAGGTCCTCCCAAACTTAGGGCTCAGGGTTTCAGCTAGACTATCTGGCCAGTGAATCCCCAGATTGTCTGTGTCTGCCCTGCCCTGGTACTGGGGTTCCAGACACCCGCTGCCATGCCAGGCTCTCATGTGGGCTTTGGGGCCCTGGTTCTTGAGCGACAGCACGTAAGCCAGCTGTGAAATACCGGTTACAACTTCAGCATCTTCTGAGGTTGGCAGCTGGCTCCTTGATCCTGAAATGTTCTTGGTACAGTGAAAACAAAACAAACTATTATCTTCCATTCCTGCATATCCAAACAAAGTTTATATTCTGTGTCCAATTAGCTTTGCCAACGTGATGCCTGAGGTCACCTGAGAGGAGCCTTGACTGCGGTATTTCCTAGATTGACTGGCCTGTGGGTGTGTCTGTGTGTCTTAACCTGACACAGGGCCCAGGCTGCTGTAGTTAGTAGGCCCAGTAGTGCTGGCTGAGGGCAGGTGATCCTGCTTGTAGAAAAGAGCTGGCTGAGCTCCAGCCAGTGAGGGCCTCTGGAGGAACTCCTGCCTGACTTCTCTCCATGGTGCCTTCGACCTGAAAGTCAAGCACAGTTAACCCTCTCATCCCCAGGCTGGTTTTGGTCGGAGTGTTTTACCACAGCAACATAAAGGGGGCTAGGACAGTCTAAGAGCACTCGCTCCCCAGGGTTTCACTCGTTAGCTCAGGCGGGCCTCCAACTCTTGACAGCTGCCCCCCCCCCCCCGCATTAGTCCCCCATTTTTTCGGTTACAGGTTTGAGCCACGATGCATGGCTCTGATATTAATGTTTTGCTTTCCCTCTTACAGAGGGCTGTAAATGAAATCACCCCATTTAGAGCTTGTCTTTAACCTTCGGGGCTCCCCTGTCTGGGGGGGACTTGTTTGGGGGTAACACTAGAGCCAGTAAGGAGCAATGCCTCTGCCCATACCTTATGCCCCATTACACGGCAGGAAATGTAAAATACCTGCACCTGGCCACTCTGAACGTTGCTCCCTAACGCTTCCCTGAGATGCTGAACTACTCAGTGCCCCTGTGGCATCAGCGCCTAAGCAGGGCCTGATGTGCTCAGTGGCCCTCGTTTTGGCCAGCTGCAGGGCACACTTATAGATCTGGACACTGAGCGTTTGCAGCCAGTCTCTCCAGGTGCAGCTGCGGGCCTCTGCCTGCCTTTCCTTCCCTCCGAGTCTTTAGGACAGCCTGGGCTGTAGGGATGTGTTGGGGGGCTAGACTTCAACACAGAACACCTGCTGTGTGGCTTTCTTGGAGGGTGAGCAAATATCTCTTCACTGTATATAGAACACTGATGACAGCCGGAAGCCCAGGCCTCCCTTGGTGAACCAATGGCTTTATGGGACTTCACAGGAGTGCGCACGAGGAGTTACTTACAAAAGTGTGGGCGGTCCCCGAACAGCTGCATCACGGAAAAGTCCCACCCAGCACGGACGCTGATGCCATGAAAACTGCAGGACCAGCCTCTCCTTCAGGTAGCCATCTGCTGTCTGCCGTCTGCCATCTCGCTTGTCCTGAGACCAATGTAGCTGGGGCAGGATGGCATAGAGTGTGTGTGTGGGGGGGGGGGCAGGAGGGACTCTCAGGTGAGGCTCTAGTGACCCTGCCCAGGCCTTTCTCCCAGAGAGCTCAGCAACAGGCCCAATCTAAGAGTGCCAAGCAGGTGCTCACAACCGCTCTCACTGGAAGATGGTCGTGACTGTGCCACGCTTGGAGGACAACATTCCCCGAGATGGCAGAGTGGGATCATCAGCCACATGCATGTTTTCCTTCACTGCAGTTACCCTTTGGCCCAGAAGCTGCCTCAGGTTAGAGTCTGTGAGGGTTCAAATCAGGCTCTTGTCTCCAGGAGGCTTAATCCAGCTGCATTAGTATCCAAGGAGACAAATTACCAAGAGCCCCGTGATTTTAAACAGCAAAACCTGTGATCTCTCCCCCCCACTCTCTCTCTCTCTCATGTGTGTGTGTGAGAGAGAGAAAAGAGAGAGAGGGAGAGAGAGATGAGGTGAGCAAGAGAGTGAGAGAAAGAGAGGGAGAGGGCAAGAGGAAGAAAGGGGCAGAAGTGTGCATCCGAGGGGCCTGGATGGCCACGACCAAGCTGGTGTGCCAGGGAAGGTCATTTGTGCCCTTCCCAGGTGACCCCAGCGTGTGGCCCCTTCACTCCAGTTCCTGCCTCTTGTCCACAGCTCCATCTCCCCTCTATCTGTCACACCCTCATCTCCTCTGAGGACCCGGCTCACTCTGAAACAAGGGTGTCTTGTCTTGAGATCCTTAGTGTAGTCTAACTCGGAAGTTCCAAGTGGGCACAAGGTTCCCTTCTTTATTATTACTTATTTTGTATATGTGTGGGGTTTTGTCCATAAATGTATTTATGTACCATTTGTGCGTGTACATGCTGAGGCCAGAAGAGGGCATCGGACACCCTGAAGCTGGAGTTACAGATGGTTGTGAGCTGCCATGTGTGTGCTGGGAGCCAAACCTGGGTCCCTGTGGAAGAGCGGCTGGGGCTTGCAACCATTGAGCCATCTCTCCAGCGCCGAACATGAGCTTTAAAGAGACACTGTCAAGTCCAATAGCTGACAAAGGCAAATGGTCCCAGAACTTTAGCTATGTGGAGACCAACTTTCAGGCAACCAGCCTGGTGCCGATCTGCTTAGGACACGTCAGTGAGACTCAGTACCATGAACTCCCTGAGCCAGGGTGCTAAGGCGCGTGAGGCCCACACAGAGATGGCGTGCACGCAATAAGAATCGGTTGGAGACTTGCAGTTCCACCGTGGAGAAGCAGAGCTTCTGACTGTGTGTCCGTGAGCTTCCGAGTCCTGGCCTGTAAGCGGAGCATGGCAATAACACCCCAGAGCTCTGTGGATCCAATAGGAAAGGGTCTGGGATGGCCGGGGAAGCACTTGGGACATAGTCAGTACACAGTGGAGCATGGCTTTGAGACCACGACAGCTGAGACATCAGCTCAGCACGTGGGAAGTGGTTGGGGTCGTCAGGAAAGCAGCACCGGGGCCTGGTCCCGAGGAGAGCTGGCCAGATCTTGATGGGCGCCTGGCGGTCAGGCACGGCTCAGCTGGGAAGGCCTAAATGGGCTTTGGGAAGGTTCTAGGTGGAAAGGCCGAAGAAGGGCATTGGAAAGCCGCCCAGCTGGAGCAGGGCAGGAAAACAGAGAAGGGTAGCAATCTGTAGTAGCTGTTTTCCCATCGCTCTGACAGAACAAAAGCAACCGAGGACAGGCCTTGTTTTGGCTTTAAGATGGGACACGGTCTGTCATGGAGTCGTGGAGGCAGGGGAGGAGGCGGCCGTTTACAGCATGCCCACACTCGGGAAACAGCTGCAAGGTGCTGGTCTTCTCCCATTCTGCCAGGGACCGACCCTGGGGATGGTGCCACCACGTTCAGGGTAGGGGCCCATGTCAGTCAGCTCAGCAGACACCCCCGCAGGCACGGCGGACACGGGTTCCTACGAGATTCCACATCCTGTCAATATGACTATTACACAGCTCCTGACACCCCCAGGACCAAACTGGGGGAGGCAGGAGGTGGCCAAAGGGATCAGAACAAGAGACTTACATCAGCTGCCTAGATGGGAGCAGAGACCCCAGCCACGACGTAGAAGGGGGCGGGAATAGCAGGGTCTCATTGTCCCTTCTTCATTTCCAGGCTCCGTGGGAATTTTGAAATCACAGAGCAGCCTGTTGGTCACTGTGTGCGTGTGTGCGCGTGCCCGCGCGTGCCCTTAGCAGACCACGGAACCCTCCCTGTTGCAGAAGGCACTGACCCTGAATAAGCAGTAACTGGTGGCTGAGCACCATTTGCCGTGGCTGCCGTCGGCTTGACGGCACAGAGCGCTTTGCCGAGTTTGCCTTCAGTGAGGGGTGACAACGCTGTGGGCTGCGCTGCCGCTCCATGCACTTCACTCACCTGGTCCACGAGAGGCCGGGCTCCCCGTCTGCGCATGCTTCCACATGCCGAGACAGGAGTTCTCTGGTAGGGCAGCTCCCTGGCTAGTCCACAGGGCCGCAGCCCAGGGCTGGGGCTCACGGGGCCTCTTCCTGGACTGCAGCTAGTCCTCGTTGGTTGGCTTCTACAAAGACTTCATGTGGCGTTCAGCACAGCGGGTTCCTCTCATCTTTCTGTGTCCATCTCCTCCTCCTACTCCGTCCACCCCTAGGCTTTACCTCTTCCCTCTTCCCTCCCCTCCCTTCCTTTCCCCTCCCTTTCTCCCTTCTTCCTTTTCTCCCTCCCTCCCCCTTCTACTCCTCCTCCCTCCTTCTTCCACTCCTCCTCCCTTCCCCTTCCACTCCTCCTCCCTTCCTTTATTCCCTCCCACTCTCCATTTCTCCCTCCCTTCATCCCTTCCTCCCTCCCTCTGTCCTTCCTCCTTCCCTCCCTCCCTCCCTCCTCCATCTTGCTCATATTTTCCTTTCTCTCAACCCCACTTGGGCATCAAGTTCAGACTGAGCTAGCCACCCCTTTGGGCTTTGGGCATGTTCTCAGTGCTGCTTAAAGAAGGATCTGTATTGTTTTGTTCTTTAATTCCCTTTCTCACGGCAAACCAGACCCAAGCTCTGAGTGCTGCCTTTGGGGGGGTCTCAGTAGGCTTCCCCTGCACACACCTCTTTCTCCCTGTTAGTCTGTAGAGATGTTATCACACTGCCTTCAGCCTTGCCCGGGCGGTCCACAGCAGTGAGAACCTTGGCCCGGCTGTGCTGCTCTGCTTCTCCCCGCTTTCGTTTTCCAGCCACAACTTCATGGGGGTTTTCTGCCACTCATCCTGACAAGATGAGTGTCACTGTTTAGTCACCAGGCACAAAATTGTTTTATGGGTGGCGATGCAACTCAGTGGGCACAGTGCTGGCCCAGTATGCAGCAAGTCCTGGGCTTGGTCCTCTGAACTGCAGAGACCCAGGAAGTGGATGCAAAAGGAGTAAGAAGTTCAAAGTCATCCTGGGCTGGTAGCCATCTCCAGTCAGCTGGGAAGAATCTAGAGGGATTGTCTAGGTCCTGCTCACCTGCGTGCGTGCCTGGGGGGGGGGCTGTCTGGATTATGGTAAATTATGTGAAGGATGTGGGTTAAAAGTGAGCAGCCCTGTTTGCTGGGTTCACCTCCGTCTGCTCTGGAGTGTGGGTATGACAGGCTTCTTCAAGCTCCTGCCATGGCCATCCAGCAGTGAGGAAGTGGAAGCTGGATCTGTCAGTGGAGTAAATGCCCTCAAAGCTGCCATTGCTGAGCTACTCCATCGAAACAGCCCGAAGGAAGGGAGGAAACCAGAGCAGGGCAGCCTGGGTACTTGTCAAAGCAGAGCAAAACGAGGCACGCCTGCCTCTCCTTCTTCTCACTACTTCTAATTGTCCAGGAGGGAAGCATGCCACGTGCCTTAGTTGTATAGAGGCCATGACCTCGCAGCTCTCACAGAGGAAGCATTTACCTGGGGCTGGCTCACAGTTCAGAGGTTCAGTCCAGTACCATCATGGTGGGCAGCATGGCCGCATGCAGGCAAGCGTGGTGCTGGAGGAGCTGAGAGGTCTGTTTCTGGACGGGCAGGCAGCAGGAAGAGAGGCGCTGGGACTGCCCTGAACATTTGAAACCTCAAAGCCTACCCCAGTGACACACTTCCTCCAACAAGGTCACACCTCCAATAGCGTCATTCCCTATGAGCCTATGGGGCCATTTTCATTCAAACCACCTGCCCCCTCTCCTCACTACAGCCTGGGGTTCCCCACAAATAAGAGTGTTGGCAGCATTTCCCTGTGCCACCCCGGCTGCTGTGCCTCTGTTGTAGGGTCGGCATGGTCTGGGCTCTCCATGGCCGAGCTGGGCCAGGCTGCCGGCTAAGCCCCGCCTCTCAGCAGCAGGCACAGTCCCACCTCAGCATCCCCTGCCAGCCTGGCCTGGCACCAGGCTGATAGGTGTGGAGCGCTTCTCCCTGCCATTGATCTGCTTGTCTCTGGCTGCCGATGGCTTGCTGTATTGCCTCCCAGGCCTGCTGGTGGTTGCAGCGCTCTCCTCTGCAAACCACAGGCATTCACTTACCGCAGTTTTCTCTCTGGTCCTCTGGTCCAGTGTCCCCATCTGCAGAGACCTTTTTCACATCACTGTGTTTGCTCGTAACCTGTAGAGTTTGAAGTTTAGTTTAAGAAGGCCCATGCTGTCCACAGTCTGTAGGCTGATTATCTGGGTCTTCTC